GAATAATCCTATTGGTGTATATTGATTTTTTTCTGCCACTGCATCAGAAGTAGTTCATCACATTTATTTATACTTATATATGAATCATGCTTAGATAAAAAACAAACTCGAAAACAGGTTCACTGAATAAACCTATATGTATAATAGGATTTTTTTATCATTAAATCAGTATGTTTTCTGCTCTATGTATATTTATGTATAAAATGTGAAAGGTAAAAATATTTACTTCTTACAAGTCCGAATATTTATTCAGTATGAATATAAAGCTCTCCGTCTACATCATCCATAGTCTACACCAAAATGTGGTCTGTCCATTGCCTTGACACATTTATGCAAAGTCAGTGATATACTGTACACTTTAAACTATCAATTAACTGATGAAGAATATAGGCCAAAGACACGGAATGCTCTTTTGCTATTTCTTTGATAAAAATAGCTTGATACATTTCTCTATTAGTGAAAGTTTACACACAAAATTATCAAGCCACAAAAGCTATTACACACACAGAAGAGATGAACTGAAATAAAACAATGTTTAGCAAGTCACAAGAACAAATGCAGTTTATTCTTCATCATCAGATCAACGAGTTATAATGATGAACACTTGACGTAAGTAATGTAGCATACCAACTAATATCTTGTACAAATATTCAACACACACTCAAACTAAATCAAAGAGGATGTGCAGGCTGAAAACACGAGTAAATGCATAATTTTTTCAACAACAAAATGCATCAGATCAAAAATATTACTTTTGAGAATCATTCGCATTATGAGATTTTACACACCACATAGAGCAATAATGCCATAATCACACCCAGTTAAAACACTGCTAAAGCTGTTGCACTCTGTTTACTGACCTTATTGTATTCTTGACTTAGTATGGGTATTTTCCCTAACAATGCTGCCACACTATGTGCATACCAACCATGAGCACCAAGGATATAGTGATATGAAGCATTTTCTGGCAAAATTACAAAACAAGATCCATAACTAAATATGAAAATTAGTATTACTATTTCTTTGTTTCTTCCATATCACTTATGTACATCCTCCACAAGGATGTCTTTAATTCAATGTAAAAGCAATACAACAATCAATTTCTACTTACAGGTTCTTTCTGTTTTTTTTTTTGTTTTTTTTTCTACTTGCAAAATCTGTACTCAACACAAATCAAAACTGGATGCAGTTATCTGGCACCTACTAGGAATTCACAAATTAAAGGGCTTATTTTGTTAATACTGTAATGACATTGTTTCTTGGAAGCACTTGTCTTTCATTTGTGCAATCTACAGGGAACAGGGGGAAAAAATGTTGATATTTGTTCTTTTACTTGTTTATGTCATGGATCTATTTGGAAACTGAAGTGCAGATAAACAACAAAGTGCAGCTCAAGTTTTCTTCTTTTTTTCAGGCCATTCCCTGTACAGTCCATCAAATGTGTTTTTTTTTTCTAGATTTTCAATGAGTCAATAAGATATTGAAATAAATAAAATTTCATAGAACCCTATCACGTTCAAAGGAAATATTGCTACAATAAAAAGGCCAAATCAATTAAGTCTTGAGTTACAATAGACTCCTCAGCAGGCTAAAAAAAAAAAAATAGATGATCAGTGTCGGTTTGATCATCATATGGGTGTTAAATCCAATTCAAAATGTTATGATTTATTGTTACTTTCTTGGTCTTCCATTTCATCTTTGTACAAACCTTATTGTGTTTGTGTTCTATTCTATTGCATTAAATTTAGCATGAGGCCTATAAGTATGCAAGTTCATGAAATTACTATATCTTTACTTTTCCTTAATATTTAAGAAAAATTGGAAGTTAGCAATTCTAAAAATCAACAGATCAGTGGAACATCTAAAATTGATACTGGTAGCATCCCTTGCATATCTTCCTTACAATTAATAAAACATTGAGTTTGATTACTGTAATTATTACATTGTACACCTTTCCATTAAAAATTATGCCTAATAATCATTTTTGTGCTTTTCTCTTTCCTCAAGGTTAAAAAAGAACAAATCAATACTACAATATTCACAAATGAATTAAAGTGTTTTAGTAACATGAAGGCAAAGGGAAAAAATATAGAAAAATCCGTAAACGTAAACATGCACGCAACTTAAATTCCTATTTATTCCACAATCATGAACATAAAAAATATCATGAATGGTACGTCCTCTGTCTGCCACAAATATGCCATTATTTCACTTTTGATAAAAGTAAACATACCCCATAAACTGTACAAGATCCCTACTTTTTATGTATCTGATATATATATTTACTTTTTTTCACTTTTGAGACATTTCTAATTGGTGAATAATTATAACTAAAGGTAAAAGTAATAAGTTAAACATATGTAGGAATTTCTTGTTCTTTTTCCTCTATCATTACTGTTATCATTTGTGCGTTCAAGCTGCCAATCCCTGTAATATTGGATAAAAGGACGAATGGGACATGAGTTTCCAGAAATAGCCATCTAATGCAGTATCAACAGACACAATGTAAAAAAATGCCAAATTCATAAAAATAATTATTCTATTTTACTATATCCTCAAATACCCAACTAGTCAAATTATCAGTAATTCTGCAACAATATCTAAAAACAAATACTCAAAACTACAAATAAAATAAAATGAATTAGAATCTACAACAAAGCAATAAGGATTTATTGTTTTTCTTTTTCATATATTTACAATAAAATGTATGTGCATACTTGCATGCATTCAAATGTGTTTATGTGTTTGTGTTTTTGTCTGTGTCCATGTTTGCATTTGTATGCTTGTCTATGTGAAGGAGAAAGGAAAATGGAAAGAGGAGAGACAAGAGAGAGCAGACGAGAGAGGTGAGAGGTGAGCAGGGAAATGCTAAAAGGAAAGAAAAGACGGAAAAGTAAAGACGAAGAGGAAAAATAGGAGAAGCAAAGACGATGAGGAAAAGAGAAAAATTATGTTGCGTTAAGACACAAATACTTGATACTTGGTCAAGAAAATTATGGTTAATTTGATATAATTTATATTCATATACTCTACACAGATAATCATCCTGACAAATAAATAATTTTTTCATCCATATAAGAAAAACTATCTTTTACAGTTTCAAAGAATAATTTCTCAGGCTAAATACTTCTTACCTTCAGGAATGGATCAGAGCTTATCTGATGACTTACATATACAATATCCAAACATGATTCAATAAACTTTCTTTGCATATCAATATAGCATCTTACATTAGCTTAAGTAATTGAATATGCATACATTATCAGTCAAACGACTGAATTTTCCCATAATTTATGTTTTCTTTTTCTTTTGAGGTCATTACCTACAATTTTTCTAAAAAATATCAGTAGCTCCATATACATACTCTTCTGATAAATAAAATTTACAGTAACATCTTCCAACCATACATAAGCCTGACCCTACCCCCATTATAGGAATTACAAGCATGGAAACAAGGACCAGGTCTGTGGATGCCTGATTCCTTTTTCATCTTGTGTAATAAACACGGTAATACAAGGTTTTACTCCGCCACAGGGAGTAGGAATTATCAAACTTGAGTAAATAAACGCCAGTGCCAGGATAGGCATGAGACCCAGCATACACCTCCTCATGGCAGTCTCGTCGGTACACAGGAATTATTACTGACTGGGCTGGTCGGCCATTCTCGTGCTTGCGGCCAGCTAATCTCAACATCATCACCCTCACCTGTAAATAAGGTGCATGATCTTTCAACCTTTGTTTTTTTCCTGGGATGAACATATATACAGTATATATATAAATAAATAATAAATAAATATATACATATACATATACACATACATATACATATAAATATATATATAACATATACATATACATATACATATACATATACATATGCATATACAAATACATATACATTTTTAAGGTAGGACATTCCATTATCAAATGATAACCAAATATAAGCTGAGGATATTAGATATTAATTTTAAAAGAATAGAACATAACATTCATCAACTACCTTCAGGTTCTTCCTCTTCCTCCTCTCTTCTTCACTCTCTGAGATGTGAACAGACACTACATTACTTGTATCTTTTGTCCACTCAAAGTAGACACCAAAGCCAATATCATAGTTATCAGTGGCAAACTCCCAAAACAAGCATGTTCCATCTTCATGGGTAGGAACTCGGACCTGTAAAAAGGAATTGGGATAACTTAGCAATGGCTAACACCTAAAATCTGTGGGTGTATTTGGATTTTCGACATTCATTCAATCCAAGGGCACTCAATGGAGCATAGCCTCTCAAAAACTGGTGGGCTGGTTTCCCACACTTTATCACTGTTTATGGAATGTTGGGAGTGTGAGTAAATGATTCTGGTACTATTTCGCAAGTTTCCTCCTGTTACAAGCCCCTAAGACAACCCCAGTATTCCAAACCATTTATACCTTTTTGTTGCTCTAGGCCAATCATATCAACCCCTTTATTTGTCAAGTGAAGGAGCACTGCAAGTATAAAGAAGAATTCTCTAATGTGGTAAAGAACTTTACGCAATGATGGACATTAGGACGAGTTAATGACCACTGCGGGGGTACGCAGGGTGGCCAATCAGATTGCTGGAGGAGAGGTGCCCCCCGTGCCACCATGGAAGCCCTGCCTCTGATGATAGGAATGTTTTACTATAAATAGCCTATAATATTCTTTAATTTCATTCATAAATTTAAAAATATTGTATTACTGTACGGGGTGGAGCACATAAGATTTGCTCTCACACCTCATCACAGCCCAAAAGCAAACTATATGAATAATTGAAGAGTTACATAAGAGATCATACTAGCCCCACCTATGCTAGACTAAAAGTTCATAGAATTTCAGACATTATTACTGTACTGTGTGCTTATTATATGTACAAGTGTCTAAACCAAGTGACTTTGAATTATGACTATTTTACCCATGGCATGAATGACAGAGACCTATGAAGGGATGATCATAGATTGCAACTCCCCTTAAATTGTCTTTGCAGTGACAGTCACAGATAGATATTTAGGAGTAAAGATATACTTGTATTAAGAATGAAACCCCACTTTAGGTAGTATCAAAAGTTGTCTCAAAAAATACCTATTAACCCAGTATGAAACTCTGCTATGATATAGAAGTTACTGTGGATCTCCAGTTATGAATATAGATGCTTCTTATGTGTATATATGGTCTTAATACATTCATTATTGTATCTTCATAATTTCATTTAATCTGTTTTTTCATTTATAGTTATAAACACTGTTTAGAGATACTATGCTTCAATTTATATTCAATTTGTATTTCCATAGTCTTAGATATTATATACCTCTTTGTTTGATACTTTTACATATGTTTGGTTTTAGTTTTAATTATTTTTCTCTTTTCAATGATAAAAAATGGTCTGATCAAAGTAAATAAAAAATCATAAAATGAAAATTTAAAAAAAAAAATGAAGATAAATATACTTAGGCTAAAAAAAAAAAAAAAAATGGTGTAGGTAACCCGACCAACTGTATTTTTTGCCCAAAAAATGCTGGCTCAAAAAATGTTATCACTATATTCCTGCCTACCACAAATCTAATACAACTGGTTTTCAAAAATACCACCAAAAACACAACCCATAGTGCCACAATGGCTAGATTATGAATCCCAAAGCAGTTGCGCCACAGCAACTGTATCATTCTATTGACATTAACTGATACATGGCAATACTGCATAGGGCGAGTGTGCATCATCTCAATATCAAAATGGCAGCCCTCTGACTAAGGCTTTAAAAAATAAGCAAGATTTGTATCTTAAACTTAAACTTCAGTTATATTTTTCTATTATTATAACTAGGTCTCGGAGGCAGGGTTTAGAGTGAGGTGGTGTCCACGAACAGGTTCATTACATCACTTCTCAAAAAATAAATTTCAATAAAAAAAATCCTTACCTATTGACTGCCTCCAGAGGGAGTCTGTTACCTGAACTTTTTTTTTTTTTTTTTTTGGGGGGGGGGGGCTTATCAAAAAGCTTGGGTCTGTGTGTAATTATGAAGTAGGAAAAAATAGTATTTTCAAGGACCAATGGAACTCTATGGCACCAGTAATGTTTATCACTATGTACTGCTTCACTGCTCAATTACTATGAGACATACTAAAACAAATATCTATTTATGAGCTCCACAAAAATATCATAGATCAAAATTGGCCTTCCTCAAATTAGAATATTTTATGTTTTTTGTAGCTGAAAAGGAAGGCAAGGCTGAGTCTTTAGAGGTTAATTATAACTTGTTATGAAATGTGATTTTTAAACTCTGAGAAGAATATTTCTTTAACCCATTAACGCTGGTATATTTTGAAGCCTAAAATAAAAGATTCTGGGCGGCTACAAAATTGGCGGGTGGGCGGGCAGAGTCCAGGGCAGCCCCGCTGCTGTGTCGGAGCGCAAGCCCTGATACAGCGTCACACTGGCGGGACGCCCAGCAATTTTTATTTTACAGAGTATCTCATATGTGGGACACCTGTCGTTAGTGGGTTTATCATTTACCTAGCAAGGCTGTCTGCAAATCTATCAAATTGGTTGAAACTCATGGGATTTCTACCAGAGATAATCTTGTATGGATGTTATATACTTGGCTTCAATTATCATCTATTCATCATAAAATAAGGCACTAGTATATGGCAAGGAGTATTTTTGAAAAATAAATAATAATATATTTTGATGGGATAAACAAAACTATTGATTGGTCAAGGTTCATTAATTCCACAGTTCTGTTAGGAACACAATTATTTTTCACAGCAATTGTGGTAAGCAATACAAGTTACCACTACTTCTTTGATTTATTTGCTATGGTTTCAGCATAAAATTATCATTACCTTAAACTTATCAAAATTGGCATTCTACCAATGAGTTGATTGACATTAATGCTTTTATGTGAAAATAAACATATCTGTGGAGTTGATGACACCAATTAATTCCACATTTGCCCTTAATAAAAGACAAAGTACAATTGGAGTCATAAATGGGCTATGGATTATACACATAACTGTGTCACCCTATGGCTTACACTAACCGAATTGCAGGGTGCAGGGTGACTTTTGCAAGGGAAATAGGGTCCATTATATCACTCCATTTAATTTGACTACATGCTGACATTTCTTTACCTCTTAAAATGTTCCATTCCACTCAAATAAACTCTTCTCCAATCTGCTCTATTTCATTTCACACCCTTAATCTGTTCTACTGCACTCCATACTAAGTTGCATCACAGGGAGCCACTCCACTCCACTCCACTCCACTCCACTCTACATTCTCCTTAACACACCACTCCCTAATAAGCCACTCGCCTCCATGCCAATCATTTGTACACTAGTCTACTGTACACCATTTCCCCACATGGCAATTTAATCCACTACACTCCACTGCTTTATTCACCATTCATTTCCAATCAATCGAAAAAAAAATCATAAAAACTTACCGTTACAGTCTCTCCATGCCCAACCTTAATGACTGAATCTCCACCCTCTCGTCGAATGGATTCTTTAAAATCCTGAATATCTCGTCTTGTCCACATTGAGGCTGGCGCAACATTCTGGGATGTTTCTGGAATGGAATCCATGCAGCAAATAATAAAATTCTGCTGACAAACAAAATTTCTACAATCTACAAATATCAATTTCATCATATCAATTTTGTAATCTTGAACTTTGCTAAAGCAACTGTCCCACCCTTTAGGTATTACGGTCTTCAAATTCGTCATACTCACCTTCATCTTCAGAATCTTCTTCACCACCATCAGACTCATGTCCATTTTCTTCAGGTGCCGGACTTTCCTCACCGCCCTCTGTCTGACTCTCACCACCAACCTAAAATAAAAGTATCTTGGTATAAAGTATCTGTTAAAGATCACAGCCAAAAAATTTAAAGTGAAGCGTGTGCATGAATGCCCAAGAAATTTTGAAAGATCACTAATGATATAAAACATATCATTCTTCAGATCTTGCCACAGTATACTCATAGTCAAAAGATAACTTGACGTAATATTCTTCTATCTCCTATAAGTTGTGACAAACTACACACTTGACAATTTCCATCCTCTGTTTGAGGCTGTTCCTGCTGTTGTTGTTGAAGGAGGAGCTGTTGTTGGTAAACCTGCTGCATATACTGCTGATAGTGTTGATCCTGAAGCTGCCTTATCAACACTGCTTGCTACAAATATTTAAAGAAAAAACAAGGCATTACTACAGCATACTACACAAAAATCTGCAGTGTTATCTTTAAACAAGCATTAAAAAATAAACAAGATTTGCAAACAATCAAGCCTTGTCAATAATTCTAAACAAAGTAATCCTTTACAAACCTGTTCTGGGTTGCCAGGAAACTGCTGCTCAGCATATGAGCGGAACTGCTCATAGGTCTGTTGATTCAGAGCTTCTTGGATCTGTCGCCTGAAAATACATGTTTTCAAGTTACAGTCTACATACAGATTATGTCAGCATAGATTATATGTTCTCGTAAAGGTGGTGAGATGCAGTCATTTAAGACATTATTGCACTGAATATTTGCCTGATAATTTTTTTTAATATTGTATAAATAACATTCTGACCTTAGATGAAATGAACATTATGATATATTTGTATTTTGTCTTTTCTTTCACTTGTGATCATATCCTGCCTGTATCTGTCTTGTGCTGTACAATGCTTTGTGACAATATTAGTGGGAAAAAATAGTGGATCTGTCTACCATTTAGGTAAAAATGTGAACCATAAATGCAACTTAATCTGTGCTCAATTAACACTTCCATTGATTGTGATAATTTGTTTCTTTTTGCTTCCACTAAAATTTGCCTTGTGTGCAGTGTATAAAAAGAGCATGCCTTTGAAAGCAAGGAAATACCACATTATCTGAAGACCCTTCTTCTTCCTTCTTTAAGGATATTCACTAGGATAAATGCAGAATTCGATAAAGGAACAAACAGTAGCGTGAAAAAATGATTTAAAGTATCTTTTTAAGCTTTAACTCTTACTAACAGAGTAAAGAAAAATCAATTCATGTTCCAATTATCACTACCCTCATCATCCTTTGAATCTGTTCCTTGACCTCTTGTTATGATCTATCTAACATGATCTAATTCTGAAGTGACTGACTGAATTTTACAAGAAGAGATAACTATAGGATGAAAGCAGCCACTTCAAACATTGCATGATCTAAGCTATTTCATAAAGCACTGAAGAAGGACTATTATAAACTCACACATGATAACAGCCTTGACAATGGCAGCAAAAAAGCAAGAGAACTTTGAACAAAGGGAGGAGACTATGAATGCTTTTTCCATATCCCATTTCATGTATGGAATCAATCACCCCACTCTGCTTCCATTGTAACCTTCAAAATACCTTTTTTTAATACCGTTTATATTTGTTACCAATATACTACCACTACTATAGTACCTGGCAAGATGTTTCTAAAATGACAAAGATATACATACAAAGCCTATTCTGTACTTCAAATTACTATTATTTACTTTGTTTCCTCCTGCTTTTTCCTCTCCTCTTCCTCCTTTCTCCTCTCTTCCTCCTCAAGCTTTCTCTTCTCCTCCTCTTCCTTCCTTCTTTCTTCTTCTTCTCTCCTGGAACCAATGAAAAAATACAAGATGTAGCAACATACTGTTTCACAGGCTATAGCATTTCCTGCAATTCAGTAATAAGTAATATGATGTTCATGATGTATGCAATCACCTACACTTTAGCCCACTGCTGCCAGGTAATCACACTGTCGACTGTATTTTTTTTATAAACTTTGTTTGCACATAGATGGTTCCACAAGTGCTCAGCCATGCTATTTATATCAATGTTACTATTATTATCACTGATATTATGATTTTCCTTATCATTGCTAATACCAATAGCAGTAAAAAATAATTATAAATCTTTCAGGTGAGACTGGCAGGAACAATAATCAACTCATTGGGGATGACGTACTTGTGGAGCCACTCTATGTAAAAACAATGAGTAAACTAAAAATCACAGCATCAAAGATTAATATTACGAGGCTATCTAACACTAAAAAATTCATAAACTCTAATAAACCTTACTTATTCACCAATCACAAATTAATCAACAAGATCACCTCACGCTGTTGTATCCTCTATCACTATATCACTGTATTACTCCTTCACTCTGTCACTCCGTCACTCCGTCACTCAGTCACTCAGTCACTCCGCCACACAGTCACAATCACACAATCACTCTATCACTCTATCACTCTATCACTCTATCACTCTATCACTCTATCACTCTATCACCCTTTCACCCTTTCACCCTTTCACCCTTTCATTGCTTTCAACGCTTTCAACTTTCAACGCTTTCAAAATCATCCTTGCATCCTCTAAACCTCTCACTCTCTCACTGTCTCTTGCTCTCTCACTCCCTCGCTCTACATTCTTTACGTACGCTAATCTCTCCTTCTCTAATTTGTCTGCCCAGAGTGCTTCAACATAGGGACGGAAGGTTGGAACAAGATCGGTCAGCTTGTTTACAAACTGCTCCATGGCCACCTCTCGGCCCATTGACCCCAGCGTCTGCCATGCTAGCCTGTAAGATAAATTTAATACTGAAGTTTTCATTACAGTGTTCTAATCTTTTTTATCTCATATCCTAGTACATTTTTCATTTTAGCAAAGTTTGTGGTATATTAGCATAATCTAATTTACTAAACAGAATTATCAACTTTAATCTAGACTCATGTTTGTTTGATCTTAATCATGAAATGATATACATGAGCTAAAATTATATCTAAACACCTGAATAGATTGGCATTGAATACTCCAAAAATAATTATCAAAAGGCTTATTCAAATCAACCCCTATGCAGAAAATCTTTTCCTCCATTAACATACCTTCTATCTTTTCCAACAACATCCAGCACTCCAACTGGTGGTGAAGAAACGGGATCATATGGGCCATGCGTCACCTGCTGTGTGAGAGCAACTAAAGAACACTTCTCAGCATATCCAAGATGTACAGCTTTTCCTTCCTTATCTGTAATGAGACAGAATTAAAATTAACGTGAAACCCATAATGTTTTTTGAAGGTCAAATGTTAATTATAATTGATTAAAGAAACAAATTTTCAATTTCTATTTCTTACTGTATATCTCACAAGCTATGATCACTTGCGAATATGCATTATCAAGGAACATGAAAGTTGCTATAGTATTAGTACTATATACTCATACCTAATTCATACTTTTTCAATGAAAAATTAATATACATATATACACATTTGGAAGCAAATCAATAGACATTTCTTCCCTACATCAGCAAGTACAGTGCCTTGTAAAAGTGAGCTTATTTGAAGACCTATGCCTTTTTTTTCCGTTACAATCAAGGTGTCACATGACGCGCCACAACACCCAAAAGCTGTCTCATAATCGGAGGCAAGGTATGTGGCTAAGCTCCTCCCACATCTGTGACATAATGGGAATGACCACACTTGACAGCTAGCTGTATTACTGTGCTAGTCACCTTTTCAACTGGTACCTCGTAGTTTGGAATATAATATCTCCTAAATGGTATCTGATATCTTATGGTGAGTCGTGCTGTGTTCTAGTTATCCAATAAAAGTACTAATATGCATGAAAATAACTGAGGTAGGAGCAATGCATCTAACAACTTGATAAATTTTTACCACCTGCTCGATTCCTGTCACGTGAAAGGTGTCGCTTTTGCTGTAACCACTGGAAGAGTTATATAGCGACCACAAAATATTACAGTACCATATATGAGATTACAAAGCTATTTCAATAGAAACACAAATACTGTACTTGATTACATTGATGAAAATATTATCAAATAAATACTCTTTTGCCATAGAATGTTTCTTGCTTTATATTTACTCTTGTGGGGTTAAAACTGTAATGATAAAATATATTTCAAATGAAAATTACATATAAAACAGCATAAAAAGCCTGAAGTTAATTCTTGACTCTAGGATTTTTTACTCTGTATCATACAGCCATCTAAATCCATACCTACATGAACACCAAACTCCTTGGCTTAACTAATACCACCTAGCTGTACCAAGCAATGATACCATCCATAGGTGTAATACTAAATCTGCACAATCTAAAAAGACATGGCAGTAACAAAAGATCAATGCAAGAACTTTATATTGTCATAGAGCAATTCTTTCAGTATCTTGAGGTAGAGCACATTATATCAGCAAATTGCAAACAAAAGACAAAAAAAACTAATGTTACATTATGATTAGTCTTTATGTTTTTCTAATGGATCTATACTGTAAAAACAATCACTTGGATGCCCCTTGGATTACGATAGACCTTAGAAAGAGATACAAATGAGAATGAATATCTTCTTCATATATACATGTATTTCTGATGAAGGTATGACTGTACTGTGAAGATAATCATTCTCATTTATACCTCTTTCTACATTTGTTGCAATGAACACTGCTCATGGTAAACATTAATCATAAAAGAGAAAAGATGAAATGATAAGCTGAGAATTTTTGAACCAGAAAGAAAAAGTATAGAAGCAGTTACCAAATTGTTACAAGTCTGAGTTCAGGATTTCTATAAAGTATCCATGTAATGAAGATGCCTAACATTTACCGTAAGACACCAAATCCATCACTGATTTAAACAAAAAAAGGAAATATTTATATAATACAAGAAAACAACTAAGAGCAAAGTACTGGTTAACAATTTCACCATATATGGTCTTTCAATAAATGTACAAATTATGAGAACAAATGTGAAGAAAAAGTAATAAGCATGCTGAAAAAAAGTCATCAGCTGCAAAGAATTTGAACATATCAAGTATTCAAGACCTGAAAGGCATATGTAAGGTAGTTGGCAGAATAAATTCACTGTTGAGTCGCATTATATGAATTTTACCTTATATGTACATGATCTGCATGATTTTGCAACAGCTTATCATAAGTCATGAATCAAGAGGATACCTAGGATTTTATCAATTATTTTCAATAAATAACACTTTTTTTTGAAAGAATGCAAACTAAGGTGCAGGATGATGTACCAAGTAATATAGAGCCAGTTCTATTCTGCCACAACCTTAACTCAACCTATTCCAGTACTCATTAGACTGTTTGAGTCAACTGGAAGGAGGCTGGCTAGGCATTAACCTGGGCTTTACAACTGCAATTTATCGCTAAACATAAAAGAAAAGTCAAATCTAGTACTACAGATTCAAACTTATATATAGACATTTCTTGTGAGCTATGCAAGAGGGCACATACTGCAAGGCTGCCAGTTATGTGTAAAGACTACATTATTGAAAGATAAAAATGCTTAGTGAAACAATGTCTTGTCCTTATTTACATTTTGTTGATAAGTGATAGCAGAGACCTCTGCCTACTTAAATGACTTGCTCATCTCCAGGAGAGACGAACATTTGAGAATCATCATGAGTCATAGGCATGTGTTTCTGTACCAGAAGGAAGGATGTCAATAAAATACAGTCAGATGATATAAGAGATCAAATTTTAAAAATTATGTTACATCAGCTCATAAGATAGCAAAATCAATGTCATATATATATCTAGGTAAAAGTTGCTGATTACTATATTATTTACCACTAAAGTAATCAATATTATCATCAAATACAAACAGACTTATACATACAAGCCAAAAGACCTAATCTTCCTCTTTCTTGACTTCACACGAAGCATAGAGAAAATTTGCAAGTATCATTTGGAATATTAAAATAATACAGTAAGAAACTGGATTTTCTTTCAATTTCAATTTAGCTATTGCCTTTCATGTCATTTCTAGCTATTGCTGGATAAACAGAAATTGGTTTATGTTCTCTATCTACATTATAATCACCATCGCTTAAACATGTGATTCTTATCCTAGGAAGCACAGGCCTACACTTAGGGAAGGAGAGAGCAATCTTATCAAAGGTGTATAAATCAATCAATCAATCAATAGCACTGACACCAGTGGGGGTGCATAGCCGGATCCACCATTTGCTTCCAGTCAGAGAGTTCCTCATGGCAAGCCTCCAGACAGGTCCTCAGCCCATCTCTAACTCCTCATGGCAGGTCTGGTCAATCTGTCCAAGCCACGACTTCCTAGGCCATCTCGTGGGCCTCCTTCACCAAGGTTTGTAACAGGAAGAGATGACCTGATGGGCAGGATTGTTCATAGGGAAACAAGATTGGTCCCCATATAGCCTGAGTTGGGGTCCTGCATTGTGCAAGAAACAGGTCCTATGCCAGTCTCACAGTATAAAATTGGTTGGGGACATGGTCCTACCAACTGTACCCGTGATCAGCAAAAGGACCTGTAACAAATGGCATTAAGATGTGACTCCAAGGCACTAGATCGTGTCCAGATTTCACTTCCATAAAGCAGAACTGGCAGTATCAGGGCCTTGAAGACACATACCTTGGTCCTTCTGCAGAGGTATCAGCAAATATTAATACTCTTGTCGACTGAGTTTATGACACCTGCTATCAGGCCAATCTGTTGGCTGACTTCATGGTCTGACAGTCCAGAGTCATGAACTTTATATCAAGGTGTGTAAAGTTCCTGTGGCTTCAATATTCTCACCACATGCATACACCACGCGCAGGACCGGCCCAGAATCCATCCACGCACCAGCTGCGGCCCGCAATGTATTCAAGTGCGAGCTCTGATCCAACATCACATTGGCAGGATGCCCGGCAATGTTTATTTTTCCGGTTGTCTCATATATGGGACACCAATCGTAAATGGGTTAATCTTGGTTTTGGTCCACACACTGTAACCCTAAAGGCTTTGACTCATTCTTAAATGCATCAAGAGCCAAAACCAGGATTCCTAGAGACTCAGAGAGGATAGAAAAAAACTCAAGGTCCGTGATCCTGATATTGCCCAGTGTAGCTCACAGTGGCTCTGGAAAGTAGCCTACCTATTATCCAGTCTAGGCTTATGTTGAAAACTGTTGGTGCAAGAACACAACTTCACCTCACTCCTTAATTAACATGGTTTAATTGATTGATTGATTGATTGATTGATTAGTGAAAATCACACCTATTACTACAACAGCATGGTCATATGGCGCCAAATTATTAATTACAAATGTAAATCAAAGATAATGAAAAGAATTATAATAAATAAATAAAAAATAAAAACTTTAGTTAAAATAGTAAAATAATTAATTTAATTACATTTAATGAGAATACCAGCTTCCCTCATAAAAAACAGAACCTCATGTCCAGACGTTAGGCATCTTTCTCCCAGGATTAGAAAGAAGTGGAAGGTACCATTCTGTCTCCAGCAGTTGGACAGATGCCTTTCTCGAAGAGAGATGGAAGACTGGAGCACTCGACCAGCAAGTGGCACAAAGTCAGGGGGACTCGGCAGTCTTCACAAACAGTTCAACATCTTTGGACATTCGTGGGTTAGTCAGGTATGAAAAAGTTAGGCAAAATATAATCCTTTACTGCAACATTCTATGGGGGAACTTCCATGGAATCCATGTCTTCTCTATTCTTCAGGATCAGATATTTTTCCTCTTGCTTTTCTGTCTGGTTAGTTGATGGCACTAAACACAACATATGTGACATCACACCCCATCTATTGTCAGACATTAGAAATGTGGCAGAGTTTTTCATGTTTCCTTCCTTTCCATATGAGTGATTGTTGCTACATTTCTTAAGTATAATCTGACTATGTGTTTGAAGAACACCTTTGTCTTCTGCACCTTTATATGATCTTCCCTAATAAAAGTAGAGCCTTGTGAATAAGCCTACTTTCCAGTTTGAAATGTATATATTTGTTGAGTTTCCAGAGTGGATGCAATACCCCCACTTAGAGGTGATTGCAGTCCTCCACAAAATATTATTATATGAATATTCTCATATGTTCTAGTACATAAAATAATCTGCTTCATTAATTTATCAGAATATCTTTACGTAACTGATAGCGCCGATTTTGGTATTGATGAATTCCTTATACGCTCTATTAACTAAAATATTGATATTATGCTGTTGAACCCCCCATTAGCGACAATATTGTCCCCAATAGCAAAGGGAGAGCATGAAAGGTACCAAGGAAACTGCAGGGTAAAATATAAATAATATACATAGAATGAGCTACTACATTGTTTATTACACAGGGTTGTGCCCCCTGTACCCTGCTCCTAGGGAGCTACTGTCCCTAACCGCCACAAAGGAAGACAAAGTATCCTCCACATATTCACAGCTGGGCAAAGCATACGACTGACATGCACAAGCAACCGATGCAGAATCAGTCCTGCACTCTGTCCTGCCATACATAAATGGGGAATTATGTATTTTCATGGGAGGGGGTTGGGGGGGATTGCAGCACAGTAAGGCATTATCTTCTTCATGTTATTGTATCACTGTTAGTTTATCTGTTATCACAGGTAAGAGTGTGGGGGTTCACGAATTCTCTGGCATAATTGCAACATATATGTACTAGAGGACAAGCGGAATCCACCAATACCAAAATCATCGCAATAGGTTATGCAAGGGTATTGTGAAAAATTACCTTTGCTTAATATTTCATACTGCAAATACCCTGTTAAATTTCATGATTTCCCCCACTATCAGGGCCCAGATTCAGGAGTACTGTGGAAGGTTTCAACACAATACCACCACCATAAATGAATAGCATAGAATGAGAGGAATCACATGATTCATGACAACACTGTCTGAAATATCTACCTTAAATAAGAATTGTCCATAACTACTCTGGAAATACTATTGAAACTTAATCTCACAACCCAAGCTTTAGTATTTACAGATATAAGAAGACAATACTATCCTTTGTAATAATATTTGAAGTTTGTGATATGTCAACAAATTTAGAGGGAAATGGACACTGCTACCTTATAAAGCATAAAAAATAAGTCATATACAATATAGGTATAGTTGCTCTAGCCTCAAATTTACTGCAAACCAATGAAAATATCCACTGTATATCACCACTCAGAGCCTAAGTCCACAACATCCTCACACAGCCAGAGTTCTTAATGTCTATTTTCCATAAGTTGGCTTGCCCTGCCTGTCCAGGGAATAAATTGAAGGTAGGAAAGGTTAGGTTTGGCTTTTTGGATTTGCATGATACCCTGGTTTCGGGACCTAGTCTCTGAAGGGTGCGTCGCTCTCAGTAACAAATACCATGTCTACAATTAAGGAGAATCTTGCTGAATTGATCCAAATTGGGAACACAATCAGCTGTAAAAAAAAATGATGCAAGACCCATTTCTCAATTCCTTTGTAACGTTTCTGGATTTATCAATTCTACAGTACTGTTGGACACTATCCACATAAACGGGGATCTCGTCCTCTCTCTCGTTATAATAAACACATTACGAAAACCAGCAAGCGAAAATGATAACCATCTACAACAAAAGGTTCATTGACTCGCCTTTATAAAATTTGAGAGCGATCCGGTACAAGTCTTGCAAGCCGAATCCCCAGTGCACTTCCACTCCATTCTGAAGGGCTTCCACCTTGCGGTCATCCTCGT